GGAAAAGGGTAATCGAGTCGTTGTCAACTTCTCTGTAAGACTCGGCATCTATTGCGACAAAAGGTGAATGTTTGGAATAAGTGAGATCTAGCCTGCGAATACGAACTTGGAATTCTTCATTTGTATTCTATTCTATGTATAGAAAGGTCTTCAGTTGGTATCAAAAATCTTTGTGATCTCTTCCACAGTGTAACCTTTTGTTTCCGGAAATGAAATCCATGCAACCACAAGCCCCACTAGAAGAATCGAAACATACACCAGATAGTACTTCCATCCCAAATCTGCCATTGCCACAGGATTGGCGTATTGCCCAGCAGCGGCGCTGGCCATAGTTATAAAGTAGTGGAGAGCAACTGCTTTGGCTCTCAGGTAGAAAGGACATATCTCCGCAAGATAGGTTGTTCCTAACGGCGCATATCCGCTGTCGAATCCAAACTGAAAGATGAAAAACATCACAACTACCGCAGACCCAGCTTCGCTTCTTGACGTGACCAAAAATTGCTGCGTCGCAACTGTGAGGCCGACCATAGCCAAGAGCATGGTTACTGTGGAAAAAATGAACAAAACTCGCCGCCCTACCTTATCGACAATGGTTGCGCTGAGTAGAGCGATCACAAAGTTGAAGGTTTGAAGCCCACCGTTAATTCCAGCTTGCTGCAAGGGCTGATACCAACAGACTTGAGCGCAGCGGCAAAATAATAAGTTATGATTCCACCCCCGCTCCATTGAGACATCAGAGAGGTAACAACCACGATGAAAAGACGTTTTCGATTTCCAGCGGTTTGGAAAAACGCTAACCATGAAGCTTTCTGTTGATGTTTCTCGTTCTCGAGGCTGCAGCAGATCTGGTCATATTCGGCTTGCACCAGCTGATCCGACTCGAAACCATTGGCATGGTATTTTGCCAGGATCCTGCGGGCCTTTGTCGCGTCTCCTTTAGCTACAAGCCACCGCGGAGACTCAGGTACGAGCATCATCAACGGCAATTGCAGCAGAGGAGGTATAATCTGGACGACAACTGGCAGGCGCCAACTCCACTCACTCTTGAGATGAAGGCTGCCATAAGTGAACCATGCCGATGCTAGAAGACTGTTATTCATTGAAGCGGTTCCAGGATATATATGCCAGCTGACCTGTTGCGCCTACATAAAAGAATGAGGAGTAAGTTGCGACCAGAGAGCCTCTCTGTCGTGGGTGGGCGAGTTCTGTCAACAGGACAGGGCCTAAGCAGACGATTATAATTCCGCCAACGCCCATCTTTTCTGTATTAGCATTCTTCTTGAGAATGCGGTCAGGTACTCACCAGAAATCGCGTCATAACGTACAGACGCGCATCATAGCAGAACGTCTGCCCAGCAGCTGCCGGGAGGTTACCTTGTGCCGGTCAATCGTGATCGATGTCCCGGAACGTACCTGTTGCAATCATTACCGCATCTCCTATCATAATGACCTTTCGTCGCCCAACAATGTCCCCTAATAAGCTCACTACCCAAAACATTAAAGCGCCGCCGATGGAGTAGCCAGCAACCATGATTCCTGTGAGATTTGTGTCCTTTGGCGAAAACCCCAGATCTGACATTCTCTCAGAACCATCTCACAGATATGGCTGAGATAGCACTTTACCATTGTACCCTGTGTCATGTCAGTTGTCTCCTTGACTGCAACCAATGGCATTGTTAAAGTGCACCTACATTGAGGTACCGTCAATAATCCGCCAATGAGTACACCATCATACCCTATCATCACGGGGGAAAGAAAGATAGGCAATTGCCTTAAGTTCAGCTCTGTCAAACCGCTGTCTTTCCACCATTGTCTGTGGCAGTTATTTTCCTGTTCACCCGCTACAGCTGTTATGACGGTGTTGTCTTCTGTCAATCGAGTCTTCATTGTCTTCATGAAAACTGATGTACCGAACGTCTATGTGATTGGCAAAAGGTGGCAATGGTGCGAGAGCGCAGAAAGGATGAAGTTATCGAGAGGGGAAACTGGGAGGCACCACAACAGGAAACTTCCGCATCGGATGGCAGGAAGACGTAGGTCGGGCTACTTCTTGAGCACTTCCGAAGCAATTCTCTTTGAGACGAAGCGTCCAATCATGCGCATTTGCGCGGCAATCGCAACAAACTCAATCAATTTTGGCTGTTGCTTGAAACTCTAATAGGCTTCTATCCATCAGCACTGTGATGATATTTCGGGGTCAATTTGCCCGCTTTTACGAGGCAAAGCTGGAAACCCTCCATCGCCAGGTCAAGAATCCCCTATAAAGATTGCCTGTTTTGCCGGGGTCGGCAGCTTGTTTACTGACTTATCCACACCTACGCTTTATCTTGCTGGGCTGAAACACGACACTTTGCAACCTATGATGGCCGATAACTGCGTTGCCTCCGACCACCATCCTTGTGAGTGGAGGCTCGACGCACCAGGACGGTATTCCCGAGAGCAAGATGCCAGAGAAAAGCTCGTTCTGCGTCAGGTCTATGGCATCCCGGGCAAGATCAATTACTGCATGATGTTTGCTGTCCAACTTCGGTACTCGTTGTCAGATGCCGACACCGAGTCTAGAGCTCGGCAAGCTTGGATCGCCTTACGTTGTGCGCAGCCCTCCATAGCCGCTACTGCCAGAGGCAGTCGCATGGAATACTCCATTATTCAGCCAGAAAGTTCGGATGTTTGGGTATCGAACACATTCTCCGTTCACCACACAGAAGATTCAGCTTTATCCTTATCACGGAAGATACAACCTAACTCCGACGTCCGTCTACACTTCCTACCTTGCACCAAGGAACTACTCCTCTGTGCATCGCACGAGCACGCCGATGCTCACGGGATGTTGATGTTATTGAATACACTTTGCGAGTACATGGCATTCCCATCCGCACCAAAGTTCGACACGCAATCAGACCGGCTGTCACCCCCGCTGGAAGTTGCAGCGGATATTGGAAAGGCATCACCTCGGATAAAACAATGGACTGCGCAGATGCTGCAAGAATGGAAGGCTAGATCTGCTCATCTGCTGTGCATATCCGCAGACCGTTCTGGACCTGGGGTCGGTGAGGTTGGCACTATTCGACTTACACTGACAACCAAGGAGTCTTTGGATGTGTTCACATCCGCCAAGACCAGCAATGTTTCTGTCAATGACCTGATGACAGGGGCCACCGTCATGGCTGCAAAAATGCTTGCTGGCAACGTTCACGGCAATTGGCTAACGCTGCAGGCCCTGTCGTTCGTCTTTCGCCTACTGAGCTTTCTTTTGCTACTATAGCGGCCCAAAATGCAATTCATAGGCCTGGAGGCTCAGCGAAAGAGGATGCATTTTTCACCAAAGAAGGAACACTGGAAGCCATGATGGGTGATATCATCTGGCCAGCAACGAATCTTCTTACAGTCACAGATCCTCAAGAGCACCAACGCTTGAAAAAGGCCCTGCAGCCAGCGTTCACAAGCAGTGCGTTACGTTCTCAAGAAAGCATACAGAAAGCCCATGCGTACGTCATGATTTCAAACATCAGAAAATCTGCTGCAAAAAGAAGCTGCATATATTTGACTCCATTGATGTCACAAGCCATCTGGGATATTATCAGTGATTTATCATTCGGCGAGCCGTTGCTCAAGGATCAGCTTGGTGAGGACCTCCATTCTCTGAGATAATAACACGAACTAACGGCGACAAAGTAAAATTCGAGACACTCAAAACAACATTCTGCGCAGTCAGTCCATTGCTCGAGGCTTTGCAGGTCTTGCTAGCTGTACCAGGAGCACAGGCTTTTGCAAAAGCCTGTGTGAGTTTGGTGCCCCTACTTTTCTGGCTTCCGACCAGGGTTTTGCCTTCTGCACAGCTCCGAAAGTAAGTGAACTTTCATTTTGTTCACTTATCAATTTTCTCTAACGCAATTGACTGGTAGACGGCTTGACCGCCAAGATGAAAATGAAGACTTTTTGACCGCGATCATGAGATGCAGAGAACTAGGCATAAGCATGACAGATAAAGAGCTCCAAAGTAACGCCTCACTTCTCGTGTAAGATTTCAAAACTCCATATATTATTCATGCTAACAATAACCTCGCAGTATGGTTGGATATGACACGACCGCTACGTCTCTATCTGCTACTATGAACCTGTTGCTACGCAATCCGCACTATCTGGAGGCGCTCAAAAAGGAACTTCAAAGTCACTTCACTTCATTCGATGAGATGACCGCAGCATCCTTGTCTCAGCTTCTGCTGCTCAATGGTTATATACAGGAGGCTCTCAGGCTCTTCCCTCCGGCAAATGGCAAAGGCACTAACAGGACATCGCCTGGCGCTTTCATCGATGGCATTTATGTCCCTAAGGGCGTGAATGTTTCCGCCGACATGTATACCATTCAAAGATCGCCTCATTACTGGTCCAGGCCTGATTCCTTTTGTCCTGAAAGGTGGTTTGACAATGGACCGGGTACAGAGTTTGCCAACGACATCCGGTCCTCTCATTGCCCATTTCTCCTTGGTCCGAGAATGTGCGTTGGTAGGGCCGTCGCTCTGCAGTCCATGCGATTCATAATTGCAGGAATGGTTTGCGACCTCGAGCTAGAGGCTGTGGGACAATATGATTGGGATAGCGACGTATCTAACTCGTATCTTTGGACAGACTACAGATGTTTCGCTGAGGTCAGACAACTCCTATAGCTTGTAGATAATCTATTAGGTAGATTCCTACAATTAAAAATGAGAAGGTTTAACCTTACGCTGCGCTACTTGCGGACATGTTGAAGCATAACATGTGGAAAAGTTTGTGCTCGGAAGATTGCGATTTGCGCTGGACAGCCAGAGACTGTAAGCTTCAATTAATCAATCGCATCGCTTGCTATGAATGAAAGATAGGTAATCACGAGCCTCCATTGATGAGGAGTTATGGGATATTATATGAAGGAGCCATTATATTTATATAAGGGAGTAAGAATGCATCGTGAAAAAAGGTCAATTTTGGGCTTGTCTAGGAGGGACAACTTATTTTATGATCTATTGTCCGGGGTTATAATCAGGGTGAGTCTTCTGGTAGTTCCGAATAATTTTCATCACGCCTTCCGGAGCCGGTACCGTTTTTACCCCGTTTGGCTTCCTCACATCAGTCTCCATCATATCCTTGACAGCAAGTTCATTGTGCTCTTGAAGCACACTCTCGAAGTCCCAACACTTCCGCCAAATATTAGTGTCTGCAATCGGGCGGTTGAACTCTTCCATCCAACGGAACAAGTAAACACCAGGATCCTGCAAAGTAATCAGTCAGATTGTGTGGACCAATTGACTGGGGGTTGGTAGAACGAAAATTATGGCAAGTAAGGTGCTCAAATAGAATCATGATGCAGTGAGCAGTGTGGTATGCGTGAAACGGATTGTCGTCGGTACCATTCGGGTAGTAATGGTCATAATAAACAGCCTTTTTACTGTTAGCATTTTCTTGACTTTGATGGCACATAAAAGAATGAACCTTTCTGATATAGTCAAGGCAATGTATGTTGTGATACATCGCCGACTTTGCCATATACGTTGTCTCGCCATCGACGTGGTACTTTTCCGGCATCGGCACAACGAGGGGTCCTTCCGCATAGCAATGATATCTGCCTCCTTGACTGGGAACAGATTTTCTGCTGTTACACGTTCCCATGCCTTGTCAACCTCTTCGCTAGGTTCTGCGCGCCAGATCTCTGGGCCGCCCATCCCGTACTGTGCGTAGCTTTTACGCAATACCAAGGGAATCTCGATTTTGTCCAGCACCGGTGCTACTTCAATCAGACTCTGCACCTACGAAGTGAATGATGTACTCACAATGCATCGAGATATCTTTCAGTCTCGCGTTGAAGCGGTGAGAGTGCTGCCAAGCAAGAAACAGACTGCTGACACCAATTTGAAAAAGCAAGAAGCTGATAATGAACATCGGGCTCTTCATTGCCTCTTTGAATGTCGTGAAAGCTCGTTGAACTCGAGATATCTTCTTAGCTCCATTCAACTCTCCTTCCATCAATGGGACGTCGGACTCTTCGCTAGATCGGCTTCCATGCTGGTCCTTTTCTGAGTCTGCCGTAGGCAGCGCCTCGTAGTCCTTGGAGCGAATATTGAACTTGCTAAATTGAGGCATCTTGCGGAGCAGGCGATTTTGCAAATCTGTGAGGTTCAGTATGCCTGTGGTACTTGATTGTAGGACTGGTAGCTAGTTTCTTTGGAGGTTGACTAGAAAAAATGCTCGAGGGCTTTCATGAACTGTAGAGCTTTGAAGGAATATCTTCGCATGCCGTCTTTCTGGAATTCCTGAGGGACCCAAACTTTTAGGTTTGCAGCTGGTATCCAATAAACTTCTTCATTTATTCTGCGGACTTTGCAGTGCTTTCCCCGACGAGAGTTTCGATGTGCATACATCGCGAGTTTCACTTGGCTATTCTCAATATCCTTGGGAATGAACTACTCGGGTAATTGCAAAACTTGGAATCCATTAAGATCATCCGAAGGTCAGCTTTACCGCTGTACCGAACCCGCGGTAGTTTTAAGGTACGCTGCATGAAAGCTGTCACCAACCACGCGTCCGAATGACTCGGCACAGCTTGCCGCAAGGACTGCCTTGCAGTTTTCGGTTTTTCTTTTCCGTGCTTGGGTCAACCTCGGGATGAAGATGCCACATTGGGCATGCATCTTGGATTATACATCGCAGTTCAACTGATCTTCCATTTCACGAGGCAAAGACAAGGTACTAGTATTGTTAAAAACCTCCGAATAACAGCTCATTCTATAACCCACCTCCAAACTCAGCAGTTCACATAGTCTGCTAAGCTTCGTCCAGTATCCTTGAGATATGTTGAAGTTTCGCGAATGTTTTGGAGATCTGTAGCCTCGTCGGCTTCTCAATCTTCAAGATTGTGTGATAACACGAACTTTTAGGTCGGCTCCACATCTTGAAGAACTAAATGAAATCATTCACATGTGACGCCGTTTATCCGTGTCTTTCGGGCCGTATAGTCATATTCTTGTGCAACTTCCTACTTCCTTACTCTGACAATCTGACCATCACTCTCGGTTCGTGTAATCCAAAATTGCTTCTCACAGCGCAACCCCTGCAGTCTTCGTGAGACAAGATGCTTACGATGGGAGCTCTCCTCGTTATCCAGGCGGCAGTTCTGCCTCTTGTCCTGGTATGTCACATCTTGCACCTCAGCAGCTTTGTCTGAGTATTCTCATAGACCAACACTAATTGAAACAGGTTGCTACTTACTTGCTTGCATCAACCATTTACAATCTTTACCTTCACCCACTCTCCAGGTTTCCCGGTCAGTAAAGTGATGGTGAATCATCACTACATTACATCACTGACATCACTGAAGGCCCTTATTCAGGCCGTGCTCAGGACTTATGGATTTCGCGCCAATGGTAAGATCAACCTTTTGAATACGCCATCTCATTCTCATCGCTTACATCTTTCAGGATATCGGGTAACTGGCCTTGGGAAGTAGAGGCCTTACACGCTAAATACGGCGACATCGTCCGCATCGGTCCAAACGAATTATCGTGCGCGCATCCGCAATCGATCAAAGACATTTATGGGCAGTCAAACATCAACCATCCTCAGTTCTTTAGGAAGTTCACAACTTTCTACAAGCAAACTGACGTCGGCGGGTCCATCGGCACCGAAGTTGACCCGCATGTACACCAAACCATTCGGAAACGTTTGGCGCCCGGCTTCAGTGCGAGCGCTCTAAGAAAGCAAAGCGATATCATCATACGGCATATCGATTCTCTACTCGACCAAGTCTCGAAGCACGGGGCCAGCCCAGAAGGCATGAACATGAGCCAATGGTTCATGTGGCTTGCATTCGACGTGATTGTTGACCTTTCCTTTGGAGAGGAGCTTGGGACAGTTGAATTAGGTGAGCTTCTGTAAGCTGACAGTATTGGAACCTAAAAGCTAAATGCATGAACCACAGGCCAGGGCAATGATTGGATCAACATGTTAGCCAACATCGGTTTCCAAATAGCCTTGGGCTACGTAGTTCGTCGTCGATGGAAAGCACTGCAAGATTTCGTACGATCCTGTCTTGTAAATGAGAAGAGCAAAGCGATGCGAACTAAGTATATCGCCAACGCCCGAGAAAAAGCTAGTCGCCGGCTTCAGAGGGGAGCAGATGTAGAACGTTTTGATTTCTTCAGCCACTTGTTACGCGACAAAGCTCCTGAAGCAAATATTGACTTCTTCGCGTCTCAAGGCACCACGCTGGTTGCTGCTGGTACCGAGACCACGTCAACCTTCATGTCTGCGCTCACCTACTATCTGCTTCAAAATCCGCAAGCCTTGCATCGACTTCAGGATGAGCTTCGACATACCTTTCGGCAGCACACTGAGATCGACGGTGAATCAACGAAATCATTGACGTATCTAAACGCAGTTATTGAGGAGGGCATGCGTGTATTTGCTCCTGCTCCATTTGGTCTGCCCAGAGTCAGCCCAGGGGCCGAGGTGACGGGAGAGTGGATACCAAAAGGGGTGAGTCTATCTGCCTCGTTAGTACCATTGGTAATAACCTTACTGACAAGCCGGGTTTAGACTGTTATTTCCACCGCAGCACATGTAACTTCTCGTGACGAGAGATGGTTTTACAAAGCCAAGGAATTCCATCCAGAGAGATGGCTATCTCACGAGCACCATACTATGAGCCTGTCTTCTCCAATGACCGGAAAGAGGCTTCCAAGCCCTTTTCTTTTGGCTCACGATCCTGCATTGGCATTCACCTATCATATATGGAGATTCGAATTTGTGTTGCTAAATTGGCTTGGAGCTTTGATTGGAAACAGGTGAGGGAACATGAGGATTTTGTCCGGGATGCGCGTTTGTTGGGACTTTGGAAGGCCGCGCCATTCCATGTGCGCTACCTCCCGTTTAAGGGGCTTGAGGTTTGAAAAGTGTAGAATCATGAACTATAGACTCAATTGACGTCGTTTCTACATCTGTTAAGTATGTTCATTGTTGACTGGTCGTGACTAGAGTAGCAACAAACCCATGGGTACCCGTACGGGTAGTACCCAAAACTACCAGTACCCATGGGTAATCCACGGGTACTCATACAACCCAAACTTAATATGGATAGCAAAGAAAACGAAAAATTAACGACAGTCATTGTCTTCTGTTTGTGCACAATGATCAACCATCAGTAATCAGAAGGTTTCACTTGGTCATGATGAACTTCAAACTTTCAACTTGATGTTGGCCATTTAAAGGTATCTTTTCTCCGCGAAAATTGTGAGAGCCTGATTTCTACCTATAAATAGCAAAAGAACCGATTTCCGTTTCGTGAAAAACAAAAAAATACATCCGGTCTTCAAACAGTGATATCCCTCAAACTCAGTCTACCAAGAAGAATTCGCATCACTGGGTTGCTATCCCCCAATGCTTTTTCGACCTCGCCAATTGTTTGCTCAACTGCCGCCTCAAGTTCCTTCAACCTCTTCAACGACAGAGCCATGGCATTGGAGCTCTTCAAAAGCCCAATGATGTACCTCTTAGTCTCATGAGGCAACCTCGGAGGGTCTGCAGAGTTGTTACGAGACATGTTCGCGGCTTGCTGTCTAAAAATGCCCATGATGTGATCCTGATGCTCGGGGTTCTGTCGCAGAGCCAAAATCAGCGGATAAGACATTTTGCCCTCATCCAGATCTTCACACAAGCCTTTCTGATCGGAATACTCGCTTGAGTGCAAATTCATGTAGTCATCCCTGATCTGGAAGAATCGTCCAAAAAGATGGCACATCTTGACTAGTAATTGAGCTGTGTCACTTCCAGTGACAATAGAGCTTTCTTGAAGCATTTGTCGAGTCAGAAGACTAAACATTGCGCCTGTCTTTGAGTCGATCATTTCGAAGTATTCTTGCTCTGTGGGGATTTGAAGATGAAACTTCCAATAAAGATCCCAGCTCTGGCCAATGAAGAGATGCTCAAGCTGAGTCAAGAGTGTTTCCTGGCACTCGGGATTATTGAGCGTTCGGGTAAGCTGGACAGCCTGAACAAACATGAAATTTGCCGTGTTAATTGACTGCGCTTGTCCGAATATCATGTGTGTTGCTGGTAGACCTCGGCGGAGAGGCGAATTGTCCTCTATGTCATCTAGGATGAGCGAGGAATTGTGCAACAAGTCGACAATCTTCTTGATAGTCTCAAGCGACTCGTCATCCACTAGCAACCACTGATCCAGCGCCTCAACCATCAGTGACCGTAAGCCTTTAGATGGCATAGAGCGTATGTACTGGCATGGAGCCATCAAAGCTCGGTTGCTTAGCGATGAAGAAGTCTTGTTCTCATCCGCTGTGAGCGCAAGAGGCTCGGAAAGCGCCAAATCGGTCGTCGGATATGAGTTGTGCGATGTGACACTTGAGGTGTATGGTCCCGGAGAAGAAACTGAAGACTGAATAGCGACATCGCGGACTGGCGAAGATGAGAAGCTACCGTCGCTGCGCAGACTTTCATCGTCGCGCCATGCATGACGTCGAGGGCAATTGGCGCACCAGTAGTGATTACCGGCAACAATCGCTCCGCAAACCTCGATGTACTTCTTGAGATTCAAGTCGGCATTGGGATTCTCCCCGAGAAACTCAGCCTTAAGTCGCGCAAAAGTTTGTTCGTAATCTATGATCTTCTGGCGAACGGTCTCTCTGGCCTGCTCCATGGACAGACCTTGAGTTCTTATGAACAGGTGGACGGCATTGACAATTCTAGGATCCTCCGTCTGTTGAGCTTGGCGCCACTCGCGGTCCCAACTCCAGTAGTCGTTCGTTAGCACAAGGGCCGATTCAGCCGCTTGGAAAATTGGACGAACAGCCGTTTTCTGCTGTTCTGAAATGTCGACTGCCATCCCAAACTCTACCATACTCCAGAATGCCCTAATAAATATTAGCTTTTTCCCACCATGCTTACGCCGATACGTGTACTCACTCCATGCCCCCATTCAGGTTTCTGAAGATCAGATACTCTTCAAGGCTGGTTATTTCATTCACATCGCTCCTTTCCATCACATCCAGCCATTTAGATCGGTATGTGTTGATCATGCGTAAGGCCCGAGGTCTATCAATCTCCATTGCCTCGAGAAGACATTTTGATATGTAACGCTTCATTTTCATGGAGCGATCAGCAGCCTTGGAACTGCTCCGATTGTCCACTGCGCTTATTTCCATGGCCTGACTAAGACTCTTGTGCTCTTTGAGAGCTTCCTCATATTGGAGCTCGTCGCACAAATCTGCGAATGACTGATCAGATTGAGGAGTGCGGAAACTTTCAGTGACAACACAAACTAACCGTCGTGGATGTTTCCCATGTTAGCCAAGTATGTGATGACTCCCAGACGTTCAGGGAGAGACTCTGGGAAGATGAAAGCCCCCCAATTTCCAACGGGACTCCAAGATGAACCGGACTTGTGCTCCCAGCCGTCGCCAATATAGGCACCCCAGTCCAGAATCGACTGTTTGGTGGCGTCATCTGCAAGATCATCTCTATGATGAATGCGGATTGGTAGTGTTGTGAAGCAGCCAGTGGATGCCGCCACCTCAGCGTCAATATCGACAGAATATTCCCAAATAGCATCCATGATGCGAGAGTTGATTGCCTTGTTGACGTAATGATCCTCCAATGATTTGAGAACGGTGTGATTATGATTTCTCGGCGCTACCAAAAGCTTTTGTTTGCTTTTTCCTCAGAGGGTGATCTTAGTGACTGACAAAGTGTTCTAGTAGTAATGCTTTGCTAAGAGCCACTACATCCACGCGGCACATCGTATAAATCTATGGGAAGACTTTTCCGATGCGCATACAGTAAGGTTCTCGTAGCCTTCCCCGGAGTTGGCCAACTAGGATCCTCCGTAGGTGTTCGGTAAGCTTTCCCGTTCTTCTGGAACAACGATGTCGTCCCTGATTGTCTAAGAGTACGTGCCTGGACCATGCAGAGTACAGCAGGGCTGATGTTTTGGGGCGTGCTTGCTTTGGCCATGCATTAGCCATGTGTTTGGAATACTTTGATACATGGTGCTCGGCTCATGTGTTTTTACTTGAAGATAGTTCGAAATGGTTAAATCCAAAAGTTCGGGCTTTTTTCTTCGGAATAGGTTCGGCACAGAGTCGAAGCAGACGCATGCGATCCCCTCGCGTTAGCCCCACTCTCACCCGCGCAACTTTGTTGTATGCAACAAAGCGATGCATCGTGGAATTACAGTTTCCCTTGAAACGAAAATTCTTTCTCCGCGGAACCTGCCTCTAGGCCGATAAGAAGAAGCTCAAGAGATGGGGTTGCCATCTGATTTTCGTCCAATATGTACTTACCAGGAACTCTGTTGAGGATCCGAAAGTCTCTCGGAAATACGATGGACTGAATCAAGTTCAAGGCTGCCATGACTTCTGGTTCGGTGCCCGGATGTTGAAAAGGATGACCGCGTGCGATACGGGAAAATTCGCGTTCATCCTAGTCAAAGCCAGCGGCCGCGAGAGAGTAACTATGTTCAACGGTGTGCGCTGTCTCATCATCTGTCGAGCGGGGAAAGAATGTAGTGGTTAGCTTTCTTCGTTCTCTCACCGGAGGTGTTATGACAATGTTCAGAGCCATTTGACTCTGCTTTAAGAAATCTCATCATTGCAGGCCCCCTACGCGACATATCGTAATAAGCCAACGATCAATCAATGAGACAAATCTGAGCACATTGAACATATGGTCCTCGCCACAGCATCATGAGCACATCACAAAAACCGCTTCCTATCAGCTTGGCAAGCTCACTGAATTCAACGAAGTGCGAATACCGACAGTTGGGCAGATCGGGATTACGCATTTCTGTTCCTATCCTCGGCTGCGCTGGCTTCGGAGATCCTACAGGCATTCGACCGTGGGTCCTGGGTGAAGAAGAAGCAATATCTCTTCTCAAAGCCGCATATGACCGCGGCATCAACACCTGGGACACGGCAAATATCTATTCGAATGGATTGTCAGAAGCCTTCATCGGAAAGGCCATCAAGAAGCATGCTATCAAGAGAGAGAAAGTTGTTCTTCTTACGAAGTGTTTCTAGGCTGTTGGTGAAGACCAATCTGTTCAGCACGCCATGATGCCCGTGGAGAAGTCGAAGGACTATCAGAACATGTTCGGACTTTCGAGAGCGGCCATCTTCAACGCCGTCGACGCGTCGCTTCGCAGGCTGGATACGACTTACATCGATGTCCTACAAGTCCATCGTTTTGATCCGGACGTTCCAATTGAAGAGACGATGAAAGCCTTGGACGATCTCGTGCGGATGGGCAAAGTGCGCTACATAGGTGCCAGTAGTATGTGGGCATGCCAGTTTGCTCGAATGCAAGTAGGTTGTCAGGGTCTCCTGGGATGTACCCGCGAGCAAAGCTGACGTAGTGCTACCCAAGCATGTTGCAGAACTTCATGGCTGGACAAAATTCATCAGTATGCAGAACTGCTACAACCTTGTCTACAGAGAGGAAGAAAGGGAGATGATCCGGTACTGTAATGATACGGGAATTGGGCTCATACCTTGGTCTCCTCTTTGCAACGGTTGCCTCACTCGTCTGCCTTCTACCACAGATCGTTCGATGAGTAAGAGAGAGGAGTTTGAGAGCAAGTTCGGGCTTGCTCTGGGGCGCTTTGAGCCTGATACCAGCATTATATCTCGAGTTGCAGAGGTCGCAGAAGGTAAGAAATGGCCCATGAGCCACGTTGCGCTTGCATGGATCAACAAAAGAGTATGCAGTCCCGTTGTAGGCTTCACAACTGTCGAAAAGATGGACGATACTCTTGGAGCGTCAGGCAAGATACTTGATCAAGGCGACGAGGAATACCTTGAGGCCTTGTATAAACCGAAGGTCGTGTATGGACATAGTTGAAGCCTCAATCTATTGACAAGCGAGTCTTCGCAAATGTTTAAGAATGGGGCTTTGATAAGGGGTTTCGGCAGTGTTAAACTTTTATTAGAGTATAACATTAGAAGACTTAAAAGTCTCGAGACTCGTCATTCGATGTGAAGGCAGATATTTGGTAAAAGCTTGGTCTATCTGTGGTGTGAAAGACCAGACTATTTAGGTGAATTTCTTGGTGGGATTCACCTCAGAGTCTTTTACGCACTTTTCGGTTACACTGGTGTAAGAAAGTTGTCTATAACCTTTCGCGACAGCACGACGTTTGGTTGTGATTCTTGACCAAACTATAGGCTCACTCCTTGAGCCATGCTTCCAGGACTGTTGTCATTACATTGGATTCATTCGGAGTTTGATGCGGCACTTCAGATCTTTATTAGATCAATCAATTGATGTATCTTTACCACTACTTTTAATTCGCAATTGTCGAGCTTGAACCTCCAGTTCGTGATTTGGTTTTCTTCGGACTGGTTTGCGGCCAACGAGCGTTGCCTTTCTGCTCTTTTGGGGGAGGATTTTGCGTCTGATAGAAACTCGGTGGCCTATTCTCCTTCAGAAATTGTTGCATTCGTTCGAAGGCCGCTTTACGATTCAAAAGTCTCGGTTTACAATCCGCACACGAGTGATCGAAGTCTTCGCGAAGAGCCTCTTCGGCCCTTCCCGCATAATAGCAATTGATGTGTTGCCATGTGTCACACTTCTCGCAAAATATTGTGTTTCCGTCGTCTGCGTTGGATGAGCAAATGCACTTGATAGTGTATGGCTCTTCGTCTGGAAATGTAACCATTGTGCTTTGTAGAACGTGGCTCACGTCGGATTCCAAAGCCCCTGCAACCAACTCGTTACCTTTCGCCCTTTCCTCCACAGGCATACGATCATTCTGAGTAATCGAAAAATCATCAGGTGGCGCCTGCTTGGCTCGCTCCTCTGGGTTGCGCCTTATGAGCTTTCTTACGTTGCTAGGTGAATCGCTGTCATCCTCTTGCTCCGATGCAACGCCAGTCGGTAGGGAAGAAAGGGAAATCTCTTCCAAATGGTCCGCAAGATGGCTCAGTATCCCCACATCTGTGCGCCTCTCTGAACCTAAGCATAGAGGACATTCGATCGATTGGTGTTTGGCAGTCAGTCCATGCTCCCATGCAAGGTGCTGCACCCAGTCTTTACGAGTCTCGAAAGGTATCGTTCCATGGTTACAAGAGACATAATGACAGACCCATGGCTTCAAATCGCTAAATAAGTGTTTCCTGGATGTTCGTTTAGTACATACGATTGCTTTAGAACGCAATCATAAAGACTTACTTCCACATTGTGTCGCCCCTGATTCTTACCCGCCGTCCACATGCCAGGCAGCAAAAAGGTGTCCCGTTCTTTGCTTCTAGCGGTAATTGAGGGATTTTTATCGAATGCCCATTGTCCTGTTTGTATGACATGACTGTCTCTGCATACCTGCTCCCCGTTCTAAGTGATGTCCCAAGCCCAGAGTCTTGGAAAGCCGATCCCGTTTCTGTAGGCGTCGTCAAATCTGCTTCCTGCGCAACTCTCTCATCGTCTCTGTTGACAATATTCCGTTCTTTCTCCAGCTGAATTCTTTGGAATCGATCCCAATTGGCACGAGCCAAACGTTCAACAAGTTCCGCCTGGGCGACTGGAAACCTATTGGCAATGCGATCCGAGTAGAGTTTGAGTGGCGTCCATTGAGGGGTTTCGGTAGTTTTTGTCTGGTTGGAATTTTCTTTTCGAGAGTCTATGAATGGGCACTTGATGAGAGGCTCAAGATCGATCAAGCATTCGACGTCTGTCCGCATGTCGGAGGCGATTTGGTCCCAATCATCTGAAACAGATTCAGAAGACGACTCGCTGTCACTTCCTTCGCTTTCAGAGATTTGGTAGATATCTTGAAGGGCGTCTTTTGCTTCCGATACCAAACATGCTAGAAGGTCTGTTCGCAGTTGCGCATCTTCGTCTGGAGCACATACGGAAGGAATCAAGCCTAGCCAATACGTTAACCATCCAATCAACTTGTAGGGTATTGAAGCGACGAACACTTTGTCAGAGTGTCGCAGATGTTTATTAGAGCTGCTAGAACAGATCGATTCAATGTTCTCGATCTTTCCAAGGTGGCGTCCAGGTTGCCCTCCACCGCACCATACCCATCCACCCACAGAATCAGAGAGCTGCAGCTTTTCTCCAAAGTCCGATGCATGGGCTTGGAGAGGCTGTCCTGAAGACTCATCTTTTTCATAGCAAATTTTGTCGTGTCCACACATTCCGCACAAAGTCGGCTGATCAGACTGCCAGTGCGTGGTGGCTCTGTGGCAATCCAGTCCTCAATCCTACCAGTATCATGATTCTTGTTTCCTGAGGGCAATGACATTATGCGCACAAATGGGCCGATATCAAGATCGTGGATACAGGAATGGATTTGGTCGCATCCGTCAACTTCTTGTGAAGGTCACACGCGTATGATTTGGGGAGAAATTTAAAAACTAGGCAGTTATCCTCCGGACGAGAAGCTGACGTGCCCTTATGCAAGGCGAAATGAGGGGCTGTGCCGCGCGCGTAGATCTGTGACTGCCTGCTTTCATTCGCTCGGTTCTGTTCAATCGTTCCAGCCCCAGCTCAGCCTGCTTTCAATCTGGGCAGCTGCGCTGCGGCTGAGTTTCGTAATCTCCCCCGCGGTTACGTTAATTTACAATATCTCCATCTTCCACTTTCTTCCTGACACCGCTCGAAACACTTCCTTTGTACGATGGCGGAGCTCGCACTCGGAGTAGTTGGCGTTGTCCCTTTGGTCGGCGGCGCAATCAAAGCCTACAAGGAAGTCAAACGCAGACTCAAACTCTTTCGCTACAGCTCGAGAGAAGTCAAAAATGTACTCAAATTGGTCAAGATCCAGCGCCAGATCTTTTCGAACGAGTGTTGCTTGTGGCTCAGGTTTGCTCTAGAAGAGGACGATATCATTTCCGAGATGGCATCTGACCCAGGCCATGACGGCTGGAAGGACCCTAGCCTCGATGAATCCCTTCGATCTAGACTGAAAGAGAACTACAGTGTTTGGGTCGATATCATTGCAGGAATCTCAGTAACGATCAATAATCTTGAGACCGATCTCACAAGTTTCGAAGAATCAAGCGATACGAAGAATTCGGTATGGATGGCTCTTTTCCTATAGGACAATGCCACTTTTACTCCTTTTGCTAACATGCAGATCAGAATAGGAAGCTCAAAAGATCTCTCAAACGAACCAAAGACGGTGTCAAGATCGCCGTCAAAGCAAGCGATTTCGAAAGTACCATTGGCAAACTTCGAGTATGCAACAACGATCTGAAAAGATTACGAGAGCAAATTGGAGAGATTTTCAGACAGAGTTCGCACTGTTTGATACCGTCTAGAGCTTCAAAAAGAGGAGACTGGGCTGGCCTGATTAGAATAAGGCGGGCATCGAATGCTCTTCATGAGGCCCTAGTCCGGGCGTGGAACTGTGGGCAGCCCGGTCATGCGGGACATGTGGTGAAGTTGTTCGTGGAAGCCAGCAAATTGGATGGCGAAGTTCGCATGAATCTAGCCATCGTCTGTCGCAACCGCTCCATGGATCTGCTCCACTCGACTCTCGTTGAGCTAGAAGTACGGTCGCGGAACTTGGAATGGATGGAGGAGCGCAAGCTCTATAGACAGCTTCCTCCACCTGACGATGAAGGAGTTGCTCCTCAGAAGCGGCTCAAGGTCGTTAGGTTTTCAGAGACTACACTCCAAAGACGCATCCAGAACCGGGAAGGAAATGCGACAATGACATGCGAGCGGGGTACAACTGGCGGATCCTGCGACCTTGGATCATCTAAAGATATCTGTAGGGAGCTGACGCAGCAACTCACCGCGAGTTGTTTGGGTCATATTGACGTTCAGTCAGACGAGGGGTTTCGCCACTCATTCTATCCGGCCAAAGATGGCTTCTGCAGCGGAGCAACACGATCTTCATCTCTGAGCAATGATGCTGTCAGGATGGACGAAGTTCTTGATGACGCTTCGCGAAATTCCTTTTCAACGGTTGATCGGCTAAAGCTCGCGCGTTCTTTGGTTTCAGTCGTGCTCAAATTTCACTCCACACCGTGGCTCGGCGACTTCTGGAGATTACGAGACCTGGGTTTCTTCCAAGCAAGCAAGGACGAGGAGGTTTCGAAAGCCCTCAGAACATTACATTTGGGCGTGGAAGTCTTCCAGAGACAGCTTGGCTCCATGGAAGGGGTCCAAACTTCGGCAGAATGTTCTGATAAAGTCTCAGAAGACGATAGGCTGTTCTGCGGCATCGGCAACTTGACACTGCACAGCCTTGGGGTAGTATTGCTACAAATAGACCGATGGGCTAGAGTCGAGCCTGGCGATATTCTCAAAGTTCGAAAAATGGCCTTGAGACCATCCTCATTGGGTCCTCGATATCAGGAGATTACACAGAAATGTCTCCGGTGTGACTTTGGATATGGGTCTGACCTCATGAAGCCACGTCTCCAGGAGGCAGTCTACGAGAATTTGGTTGGTACGTTGGAAAAGATGATATCTAGCTTGGATTTAGCGGATGATTAGCCGCGCACCACACCAGGATACAGTCGCTTTCGTGGGCGCAGAGCCGGCGTTTGGTCCAGTCAGCGTCCTTGAGAAGTGCGACATCATACCATCACCCCAGACCATCGCAGAACTACAATGCTTGTCTTCCTTAATATTATTCCATCGCAGTCCTTTGACCTCTTATATGGAGAGGCGCGATTCCCTCCGCGACTCTAGAAACGGAAATGATGGTGCGTTGTGTTCCACCGGTTACCTTGGTCTTATCGCCCCTTTCATCGACGACGGCATTTTCCAAGGCCAAAGCCAAGCCACAATATCTACACGTTAGCCGTTACCATGGTTCTATTTTATCTCGATTCTGCATGGCCAATTAGGAATTTCTTTCTATTATTTCAGTTCGGGCCTGATAACCAAACATGTCCGGGTAAATTGCACCGGCTGAATTATACATATGCTCCATGTCGAGTCTCATCTAACTGATATTAATATTGATGAACTAAATGGCATCAAGTGAGAGACGGAACATCGTCAATTTTGATACTAATTTGGCCAAAATGAGGACATACACAATCCTATTTAAGTTCCTCGTTGATCGCTTGCGACGAGTTACGCTGGGCTAGCTTTTCTCTTCCTTGGCAGTCTGGCATTTACAATGCGTGCCTGCGACATAGTTTTGCTAGGCTTCACGGCCCTAAGCATTGCTGCTCCTCAATTTGGAATAGGGGAAGGCTCTGTCATTCTGATTCCAGGTGGCAACTCTCCTATCAACCCTCCCTTTACGGCACCGGACGTAAGGCCAGGAAAGCGTCAAGTAAGTAGTCACATCCCAGCCTCAACACATTGTCATTTTCCACATGAGCTTTCGCATATTCCTACTAGCGGTCAGAAAGACGATTCATTAATCTTTCTTCAGATAGAAACAACCGTGACACGCCGCGATGGAAATCTTGATGCCCTCAGAGACACTTATCTCTCCCTAATTGAGCCCTACACCGGCGAAGCCAAGCCATCAGTCGGCACGTACATGATCCTGCTACATCTCGCCGACATTCTTGCAGGCAAGGGCATTGTGGTCGACACCATCGTGCTTGGCGAAGCTACAACCGTCTTTGGCCCTTCTACAAAACGACAGATCTTTGAAATTGGCGGCTGCAAGGACTCTGATGTCATTGGTCTCCGCGCAACTTTGACGAGTCTGCTTCTCATTTACGGGAACAAGCCTCCTTTCGAGATCTGGAACTTGGAGCAAGCCATCATCGCAGCCCTCAAAGCATGTGATCAAGACATCGGTGTCGGTCCCATCATCCCCGACCAACCAATTCCTGGTGGTCCGCTTATCCCCGACAAGCCGGTGCCCGATGGCCCGGTCATTCCAGACCAGCCGGTCCCGGGTGGGCCCATCGTCACTCAATCTCCGGCCCCCGGAGGTCCGATCACCCCCAGCGACTAGATGTGTGGCAGCCAGCTCGCTGGTTCAGTCCCGGCCGAGTCTGAAGATGCGACCAGCAAATACGTAGGCAGAGCAGGGCACCACCGGAGGAACACCACGGACAAAGATAGAGTTAGTGCGCATGGAGAGTATGGAAAAGGAGGGAGGATGCAAAAGGCCATTTTGTCGGCCGCTGGAAAACCCTGTCATGAATCTTCACGATGTTTGACTTTCCCATGTCTTTCCGTTTCTTCTTCTGATGATTACTTTCTCATTCCAAAAGGCTTGATTGACTTAAGCTCGCGGTTTTCGGCTCCAACGTGAGATGCGTTTCATGTTTGCTGAAAGATGAGTGTCAAAGCGTTACAGCCCTATATTCATTTGGAAGTAACAAGACAGAGAAGCTTCGTGTTCCTTACTCTGACAGCTCACAACCTCGAGGCATCAAGATCAAACGACAAGACAGACGAGACAGGAACAGCGGAGCAGGCGGTAATCAAGCATTTCTCCTCCGAAGTCATCTGGTGTTTATTCGTCCTGAAGTTGGGCTCAAATTCTCATCTCAAGGCTGAGGAGTGAGATTGCGGTATGAGAATCATCTCAAGGTCCCGGATAGAGTCGCAAACGAGTATCAGCTATGATCCTCATCGTCGCAGGACGCCCGACACTCCCGGTCAGCCTCGTGATAAAGCCATCACCAAACCCACCAACATGTCAACGCCAAGAAACACGGCGATGGGTGTTCCTGTTTTTATCAGCCTTCTCCCGCAACTTTAACACCGAACACGCAGGCCTCATCACCCTTTTCCTCCGCTATCCGGTTCCGGTTCTAGAAGAGGCGCATAGCAACTCAAATCTCGCTCAGACAAGCTGTCAATGTTTCGTTATCACGGAAAGATATCATAGGGCAGCAAAAGTCAACTTTAACAACGGATTTCCCCCTGATCCTATTTCTCCTGCTTCAACTGAAGTCACGATGCCATATCCAATGACAAGCCCCCGGTCGTCGGCCCAGTTGTCCGAGGCGCGTCCCTGATGGCTGACAAACTCAAACAAGTTCTATTGCGGGCGGGAAGCCACAGTCCTTCGCGGTCATGCTTCACTTGAAACTCCCGACCGAACTCCGGCCAGTCTGCCGACGAGCACGGAGCACCCACTCCGGCCGTAAGCCTTCTTTTCTTGTGCGGTGACCCCAGGCGCCACTCGGCCGCCCAAAAGGACTGCCGCATGCCGTCCGGCCGCAGTGGTGGAAGATGGGCGGATGGTAAAGTCGTAGTCGATTCAAGGATTTCCGAAAACGTGCTTCTGACCTCGTCCTTACCCCAAACCAGACAGCACACACACAAATACACATGCAGGACGAGAAAGGCTAATCTTGGTTGCTGCCACTGCTGCCACGCTGACAAAGACGCGTGCAGCCCATGGCTTTCCCTGCAAACGGATGAAGCGGGAAAGCCACGAGACAACCAACACAACGAACATACTTCTCTTGGCGGTTCTCTATTTCGCGCCTTTCGGCTTTAGTGAGAACCCGGAAGCTCTCATGAACTGCAAAACGCCGAGTCATTCTATCAAACAAATCCCATCACGATCATCATCACGATCCTTTCCCCACACAAACTTTCAGCCCAACCCGTCCATGGGTCTTACCTTTCCCTCCCATCCCTCCCCAAAACTTCTGCCCTCGGCCGGCGTTCATGGGACCATTTCGACTGCGTCGTGGCCTGTTCCCCGGCGCCGCTAGATTCACAATCACGCAACACTTCAACCACAAGCTCAGCCCATGGAACATCGTGAACACCCCATCCCAGAAACGTGGTGAACCCAAACCAAACTGACCAGTGCACTACAACACAACAAAAGGCAGCATCGAACTTACACTTTGCCTACGCTTGCCCACTCGAAGCCAAACTCGTTTCTGCGAGGAAGGGAGAAAACGCAACGTCGGCGCCATCCGCGACGAACGCGTGCTCTCTCCAATCTTGCTTGCACCCATCTACAAACCATCCATCTCATCACATCCCGTCCACATCCTGTTTAGAGTTTGGATACCTTCACTCCTTCGGATACGATCACGCCGAGGCGGCGTGAGCGTAGAAAAGTGCACCCAAAAGGGACGAGACGAGTCATTGTGGCCCAAACTCTGCCATCGCGCAGGTGCTAACAAAACTCTTTGCAACCAGGTGCGTGGCTAGTTAGACCGAATACAGCAGGATAGGGGACCTTGTCACACTTTCCGCTGGGCCATGATGGTTCCTGGAACTCAATCATGCCACAGCACATGGCGAACTGTCCGGTGGCAGATGACGAGCTGTCGTTTTCATCTCGCACAAGCTGGAACTTGACGCCGTGCGCGGTTTAGGGACAGATGTTCTCTCCTTAACGTCAACGGTCTGGTCCCCGTTAATATGAGTCAATAATGCTCTCAGACGGGTTGAGCGTCTTGCGGTTCAACCTCTGGCGTCATTGGTAAGGCGATTGTCTCGTCCGTGCAAAAACGCGGTGTACTGACCGAAATGGGGGGCCCTGTTCACCACCCTTCACGACTTTTAACCTCTCGCGACATATCGACATGGGGGCATAGGGGTCCTCAGCCACGATCCAAGCGGACGGGATTCTCTTCGTCATACGCTGAGCGCCGTTCATCAAGCCACGTCAATCAAGGTCTATCCAAGACCGTATGATGGCAGAAATGCACAGCTCATCCAGCGGCCCCAGACACATGCTCCGGCTAACTGTCGCATCATGATGAGATGGTGTGCCAAAACATTGTCCGCCTCACAATGGACCAGACGGCACATCATTTTTACAAAGCAAGCCCGTCGATCATAAGCAACAAGTTCCCTACCCTTATGTCGTTTGAAGAGCCCTCAATGTCACTCATCACTACCTATACTTCGCAAGCATCCAATCCATCAGGCTCCATCCCTGTGTCTGATGTGTCCCGCGCTTATGTCTGGCATCTCGCCGCCGCTCCCGCGAAACCCTTGATACCTTATGACGCCTATCAAAGCACATTCAAATCTCTTGGCGACCGACGCCATTGACACAGAGCCGCCGCCACGAGCGGACACTGGTGCGGCCACGTCTCGTAATAGGCCAGGGTCCAGACCCAGCACTGCAAACGGAGCAGTCGCACGAACCACGGACCGTGATGTCGGGCTACGTGGACCGTAGGCATCAAGCCACTCACATCGAGATTACCAAAACATATTGAAAGCGAAGGCAAGCCAAGTTTGCCCTATTCAGCGCGTGGAGGGAGGCTCCACTTCTCCGGCGGCACGCGGCGTTCACGGGAGAGGAAGGAGGACGAGCTTGACGCCGTCCCATCACAGCCCTCCGGGGTACCAGTTCCGCGCATCCTACTACTCATCAGCCGGCGCGGAAGGAACATTCACAAGAGGCTCGAACGCATGGATCACTTGACGCCCGCCTGACAACCACTCCCGCTCTCGGTCCCTTTTCTCAACACACGAAAGGTCTCTTCCTAAGGAAGAGGAGGTAACCCACCCCCCGCCACGCCCAGCACTAAGGTGGCCCACGAGCCACGGTACGCGTAGATTTGGATAACATAATGGCGGCTTGGAAACAGGCTAATATAGTCAGAGGCGTACAGAAACAGAAAAGACGGTACCGTGCGCCGCCGCCGCCTCGCTTAGATGCTGGACCGGTGCGCGGCTCGAGATGAGGACCCCTGAGGCCTGTCGGGGAATTTTCTCTATCTCGACGGGACGTGGGAAGAAAACCAAGGCTGCGTAGCGTGGGCACGGATACGAGACTATTGAACGAACAATGGTAGCAGACCCAACGCGGACGGGAAATATTATCCCCTTAGCGCTTGGCTATCGTGTAAGTGGTTAGTCACTTCGTTCAACCGCGGGCCGCCATGATCTGTGCTGTCCGTCTTCGTCGAAATATGAATCTGCCGGGAAATCGCCAGACATCACGAGATTACTAACAAGCCGTGCCTTGTCGAGCTAGCCGGTTAGTCACCGTGCAGGACCTGTCGCGAAGCTTGTCTGCATGTTGTCAATATGTAGCTCGACGTCAAGCCACTGCTTGGACCCGATCCTTTGCTCCAGCCACGGTTGATCATTACGGAGGCTTGAGTGTTTGCGGCTTTGCTCTCACACCTCTCTGTCCCGCGCCCGGCTCAACTACCTCCCCCCACTGCCGACATGAGCCCTCGAGCTCGTCCCCCCTCGTACCTGATTGGTTCACACCCGGAGAAGAGCCTACGCACGGGAATGGCTTGCGTAGTAAGCGGCCGTGGGATCATTGACCTCATAGCGTCTCGAAAACATCAGACGGCGGCTGTCAGAAGGGGCGGTGCATAGGGTTGGGACCAGGGCGCACGCGCGGGCGGCGGCGGCAGGTCCCAAGGTTCCCCTCCGGCTGCGTGGCCTTGTGAGGCAGCGGACGTCGGAAGGCGACCCCCTTTGAAGGATTTGTTGACTTGGCTTGCGGTAGGTCATCGTTCATGCGCTTTGGTGTTGAGCTACCTCTTTGATGATGTTGATAGACATGGATCAGATATGTCGGGGCAAACCCTGCAGCAAGGGTTGTTTGACAGAGTCCTGACAGCTCCAAAGTCAAGTGGCGATAGACGAGCTCGATTGCGCCATCGTCAAGCGCGCAATGATAGGACGACATCTTTTCGCGGTGCTTTGCCTGAGAGGGCAACTGTTGTTGGCTTAGCGGGGGGTACGGGAACGTTGCAGTATGCCCTCGGCAATCTCCAACCGTTCAGCCTGCGCGCATGTCCGGGAAGATCGAAGATCTCCTGGCTTCCTTTGCGAGACATAGCTAACCTTGAGACGGGCAAAGGGAGACCTACGTGGTCGATCCCACTTGATAACGAAGCACTCTCGGATAACCTGGCGTGTTGATCTCCCTCCGCGCCCGTTCTCAGTGGCCAAGACATGATCGAGACGTTGACCTTAATCGAGTTGAGAAATACATTCGTTAGTGCATTTGATGAAAGCTGAGCTGGTGGTTGGTCCCAGATTTCCCACCGCAGA